GAACTGACAATAAGACTTTGATGACAAGTATAGAACGAGAAGTTTTAGGATCTCACAAGGAGGGATCCTTCAAAATATGTAACGAAATTAACCCCATGCCGTACCATTTTCTTCCCAGCTATGAAGGCTAGAAGTTTTTCGATTATAATAATTTCTTAAAAGTAGAGGGAAATTTGTATTCATCGTGTGTCTACGTTTCCTTGAATACTGAAATATTGAGGAGAAAAGAAGAGCATTTTATAGCAACTTAAACGAACGGAATAACGTTCATACTTAACAGGTTCTTACTAGAAATTTCCATTACGAATTAGACTCGTTGAACTAAGAGGCAAGGGGTTAAGAAAAATTAAATTTTCCCTCGCGCGAAGCTTGTTGAGTATAGGTTGATCTATCGTCGTACCATTGAGTTAGGGGTTTCTAGGTAAAAAGTTGCGTTAGGAAGAACATAGTCTGGTTAATTATAATATAGTCGGCGTAATTAATTTTCTATGCCGGGAACGTGTCAATAATTGACTGCATCTTAGTTGGTGGAACACGAAATGCGAGATCAATATTTCGAAGTATCGAGTTTCAAATTTCGATTACTTTAGTTCCTCCGGGTCCTCTAAAAACAGTGGAAACAACGGAACAAGGTATACAGTCGATTGTTTCGGAAACTGTTGGCGACAGCGAAAGCTTTTTCCGGGAATTAAATGGCGCGTGGGGAATGACATTTTATCGCGGGCAAATATTTTTTTATATTGTTAGCTTAGAGGACACGAAAGTACCGTTTCGATTTTTGCACGGTACTCGGCATTTGTCAAAATAGCTCAGCGGTGCGATTGAAAGAACTCCGATAAATAAAACAGTTGTACACAGTAGATTCTCCCTTAATTGACGCTGTCGACGATCGGCAACTATAAAAACAAGTCGCACGACTCGACTAATTGCATCTTCTCTTCCCAAATTGTCTGTTTTTGCGCACAATCTGAGCGCGAATTAGGAAGAATTTACTTTTAATTTAATGTAATCGTATTTGAGAAATTTAGGAAATTAAATAGCATAATCTAATTAACATAGAACTTGTGACCCACGTTTGTTCATTGCGTCAATTTGGCAATTCACTGATTCCAAATCGGTATTAAGTCAAGTCGTAATGATTTCTGTTTTAGCCTATTATTTGCAATGATTTGCAATTTTGCAATTATTCCAATTATTTGCAATGATATGGTGAACAATATAATTGTCACAGTTATAATTCGTTTTCTAAAAATAGAAATTATCTGTTCTACCGTATGCTGATTCCTCATTCTCGAAGAAGTTAATCATTCATACAGAAAGTTAATTATTTATATTAATTCAAATCGACGAATTCAATTAACCCATAAATGGAACATACGCGCGACGATTCGAAAATTCGGTAGATTCCCTTCGAAAATCCATCAAAAATGAACACCGCATAAATTAATTCAATCACAAAAGTCCATTTTGACGACCCATTCAAGCGTCGCGGCGAGGGAATGAGGATCGTGCGAGAGTTAATTCGGAAGGTTCATTCTTGTAGTGGAGTCGCGTTGATTAGAAATTCCAATGTTGGCTCGAACGTCGGTCAAATATCGGTGACACAATTCCTCGTCGATCTTTCAAAATCGATTACGGTGACGCGGTCGCATGAATCTAATATTCCGACAGGATTTATGAAAACCGACAGAGCTAAAAAAGAAAAAGTGATCTCTGCAACAATAAACTTTGCACCGTGTTCACGAATTTCTTTGACACTCTAGAAATAAAAATCAGTTTACACAGTTACACAGTTTACAGAGTTACACAGTTTTAGAAGCCAAAAATCCAGGAGAGTCTAACAGAATCTAGCAGAGCCAAAGAAGAGTATGCAGTTCGTATAGCAAACTCGAACCCTGCACTTCTCCAGTACTCGCTTTGAGCCGAAAGCTTTTTCAGGCTGGCAGATCGACGATCGTCGCGTCAAAGGGAAGACTCCCTTGCAACCGTTCGCGGTTGCAAATCCGCTTCTCCAGCTGTAAAACGCTCGATCGAGACGACGCCGCGCTGAACGTTACGGGGGCGCGGTTGGGTTGATTCATTTGAATAAATAACAAACGGTGGCCGGCTCGCGATATCAGATACAATAAATTCCCACGGAATCGCTCGCTCTCCCCTGTGTTTCCCTCGGAATCGATAATTCGCCGACGCGTCGAACAACCACGCGCGCTCCTTTATTTTTAAGACGGTGTTCGACAATGCCTCCGGCAATTAATCACCGATAGGTGCCGATGGATTCCGGGCCGATGGCTGTCGGAGGCGTAGGTGGGTGAAAATATTCCTTGGAATTTGCTTGGTCAGTCGTGCGGTGCAGAAATTTCTCCCAGAAATGTTCGGAGCTCGGAATTGAAACCGGCAGATCTGAGAATACTAAGTGGCGATCTTTCGAGCGATTTGTTTTTAGAGAAACTCGGGACAGTCGGCGGAAAAAAGGCGGCGGCCAGCATGCCGCTGTACATTATTAACGCATAGTAATGTTGGAATAAAAAGGATGACTTAATTTTTTTATGATTTTTTTGCCACGATTCGAAGGCAATTCGGTGGCCGCGTGACGCGATTCGAAGGCAATTCCGAGAACAAATTCGTAAAATTATGACTCTTCTCGTAAATTATAGCTCGAAATCTCTACTTTACGACACTCTACTCGAATTTTGGATATCACGCAATTTTAAGGACTATGGTATCCTGAATACGAGGGTATGTTCGTGATGCCGAAAATGCGCACAGTGTAACGACCTCTATGGACTTGGAAATCTTCGCGAGAAAAAATCGCAGCGACTTGATTCTGGCCTCAAATGAAAGAGGAAAGTTCAAGCTTTACGATGCTTCAAACGGCATGCTCGAACAAAATTTGTCTAGGTCCACGGACGGCGTTGAACTTTGCACTTTTTCGGTATCGCGAGCGTGGCATTGGTTTTAAAATACTAGTCATTAGGACGCGTGATAGTGCAAATTAAAATATGGTATCGTAAAGTAGAGACTTTGAGCATTAATTTGAAAAAAAAGTTTTAATTTTATGATGATTTTTAACGATGTTACAGCTGCTCGAAGATCGACTATTATTTCGGCCCGTAATTGGCGATGCTTTAACCTTGCCGTTCAATGTAAATTGTTTTATAACAATATTTCGTTTGCTCAAACTTTGAACGATTTCTGTTACAACGTATGCTCAAACGAGAAGGTTTTTATCTAGAAATTTCTCACGGAAACCTTTTTATAATATCATGAATTGTAAAAGGAACGTCACTTTTGCCTGGTCGAAAGTCATCTCGAAGGCAATTCGGAGGCCACGTGACACGATTCGAAGGCAATTCGGAGGCCACGTGACACGATTCTACGCTAAACGTACCTACTACAGTAAATTCTCCCTAATTTTCCTTCAGCTTGCAAACAAAAATAGACAATTTGAAAAATAGGAGATGCGATTATTCGAATCTCGAATCTCGAACCTCGTTTCTATAATTGTTGACAATCGCCAACTATAAAAATGAAGCCTTTACAAGCTGAAGGAAAAAATTCGGGAGAATTTACTGTACTTAGCTTGTAGCTCCGCGATTTTTCTCGCCAGATTCACGCCCAAACAGACCATTTTGTCTTGTCCTCCAAGAATTCGCGTCGCGTGCCGCATCGCACGCTCGACCGACTCCGTAGCAATAAATTACATAGGCGTAGGACTACCACAGGGAAATTCACAGCAACCCGAAATTTGGCAT